TTGGCGGGGCGGCGTCCACGGCTCCTTGTTAGTAGCCAGCACACAGTGGATTTCCAAACAGCGTGCGAATGTGTGCGACCCTACTCCGATGGGGGCTATTGTGATACAAAGGCATGGGAAATGGAAAACCCTGACTTACAACGCGCACAAAGGTAATATGATATTTGATTGTGGATAATATAATTATCCAGTCGGAGGTTTGATAAAGAAGTATCGGTGTTTCATCATCCAAGAGGCTGTTGTTCCTGATGACTCGCGCAATAAATGATCACCGGCTGCCTATGGCTCGGGCCAATTAGCAAACAGTGTGTTGATGTAAAACCACAAAGCAATTTCGCATAGCTGAGGTCGGTGACATGACCGTCTTCAAATGCCTCTGCCGGCACGGATTCCCGCTTCCCTCACTACCCCTGTGATTACGGGGAGGGATAACGACCGGCTTCACCCTTCCCACCCAATCGGCCCCAATTACTTTCCCATGTCTGTATCTACCGCGACTGGGCGACAGCGGCTGCCAATGAACCGGTGGTGCTGAACGGCCGTTCACGTGCCGCCCCCCCCCCCCCCTTAGCCTCTCACCCCCTCACCCAACACCAGCCCTCTACCCCCCAGTGTTTAGTGGTCGGCGAAAACCTTCCTCGGCTTATACTGGCGAGAAAACAAGGCGGCGCCGGGCTGGCGACGGTCGGTGAAGATTGGTGGAGAGGGGAGCGAAGATCCGGTTCGAACCGGGTCCTGGAGGGGAGGGGGCAGCTAGAGGATATAACGCACTGGAATTCTCGGTGAGAAGGGGAGGCGGGCGACTCAGAGAAAGCTAGTTCGTCAAATCAAATCCTGTTTGTTGTCTGATGATTCACACTGCGCAAAAACTATTATAATGCATCAACATGCATCAACAACAGGATACATATAGAGCTCGACATTGGTAAAGCATAGTCGCTAACTCAAGTATATTAAAAGAAAAGTATAAGAAAAGTATATTTCTGTACATTTCACAAGCTAAAAAACCATAGCTATTATTAGAAACCTGGTGCTTCCTTTATCCAATCGTAGTTCCAACTGGATACCAAAACGTCCACGCAGTAAGCCACAACGTCCGCGTAGTGAGCCACAACGTCCGTACAACTGAAGCGAGCCTCCGGTTCGGTCGGTTATAGGCCGCGGGCCGCGGGCCGCGGACGGCACCGTTTTCAGCGGTCCGGTGCGACAAAAACTGGCGCACTGGCGGCGTCGTGTGGCGCAGCACACAAGGCTGGCCACTGCAGCCACACACTTTCGGCCACATGACATCCATACAAGCTGGGCCGTGCCGCTGTCCGCACAGGCAAAATAGCAGTCTTTTACTCGAGACAAAAAAAAAGACTTCACAGAATGATGTTGAACTGATAGTTATGTAGGGCTTACGGGTGACAAAAAAAAAGATCAGCCTAGCATAAATTTATGAGATTATGTATAAACACATTTCACTGCTGAGCTTAGTGAACAGCTGGAGGAAGCCAACTGACCGCGTGAATGCATGTGATTTACCAAATGTAAATGCCAGAGGTAAATGCCACAGTTTTCCCACACATTTGAATATATTGGCACCTTGGCCCAGTTGCGATTCTGCAAGTATTTGATTCATCGCAGAAGCACTCGAGGTGTTGTCCCATCGTCGTATGTCTTCTGGTGATGCCCGTAAGGGCCTTTCCCTAATAAAAAACGTCACAGCGGGACATAACACTGGCGCCATTAACTGCAGCTGCGTCACAGGAATTGAATATCGACACTGCACTGAAGGGACAGTGCTGCCTTAACCCGCGCCCCGTAGGGCTACCGGCGGACCCTACCACCCGTAGGGGGGGGGCCGTTTCGGCCCCCCCTAAGATCTCGGAAAGTTACCGGCCGATTTTCAAAATTCAAACGGCGTTTGATAGCCCTACCCGGGAACTACCTTGTGACCAAATCTCATTGACCTAGGTCAAACCGATGACGTCACAGGTCAGGTCAAAGGTCAGATTTTCACCGTTCACAGGCAATTCAAGAAATGTGCTGTGAAATCGAGTAAATTGGTAATTTATTGAAACCATCGATGGTATATTGTTCGTCAAACACATACTTTGCTATCTGAGGTCACTGACACAAAGTCAGGTCACAGCGAGGTCAGGTCACCGGGGGTCACAATATGAATGTGTCGTGTGATACATGTTTTATGGTCCATTTTACATGACAAATGCGATTATGTGGGTTAGGCAGCCTTTGGAGCCAGCCTAGGTCACGTTTTAGTGAAGGTCAGGTCAAGGTCAGGTCAAATTAGGTCAAATTTCAAAGTTGATATTTTTGCATAAAATGGGTATTCATTCGATGCAGCTCGTCACGGGGAGTCTAATGGTGGTCTTTGTTTTGCTCTACGAGTTCTAGAATTGCCAAAAATTGAGTTTGAAAATTTGACGTCATCATTTTTGAACAGTTTTTTCGCTATAACTTGGCCATAAAACGAGGTATCGATCTGAAATTTGGTATGTAGATAGAAGACGGTAGGTACTATCACATATATTCCGGTTTTTTCGAAAATCAAAAAACTTTTTGGATTTTTTGGCTAATATATCCAAAAAAATGCTTTTTTGATTTTTGGGGATCAAAACTCAAAAATTTCAAAAATCCGAGATCGCAGTTTTGTAGCCCTGTCAATTCTACACCTTTTATGTCTTGATCATTTTTCTGTATCTTCAAAGCTGTAGGCCTGACAGGTCTTCTCGCGAAGGTCTTTTTTCGGTCGAAAATGACAGAACATGACGTCACTCTGACGTCATTTGTGGCCAACCTATCACAGCCTCTGGAAAAAATTTTTGGTCACAACGTGTAAAATTGATGCCCGGAGGGGTCCTGAAAGTTTGGTGGTGATATCTTTAGCCGTTTAGGAGATATCGACCGAAAAGGACAGGGGGGGCCGTTTCGGCCCCCCCCTACGGGGCGCGGGTTAAATGAAGTCTCGCGCTTTTTAAACAGCTGCAGGTGGCGCGGTTGGGAATATAAGATACGTGTTATGCAAGGTGTGCTAATTAATGATAGAGTTCATTTGGAAAACACTGAGTTTTGCAGTATGACTTATTCACATATTTTCTCATTTGCAGACAAACACAAATGATCATACGATTTAGACACGAAAGGTTAAAGTATTGTGTGAATAAATAGCGAGCTAAGCGTAAATATGGTATTGTTTATTCGTTTTGACCTTACAGCCTTCCTACCGGCTACCACGTAGTGCAGAATTGGTCGTGCACGACAGCGAAAGGAAGTTACATAAGCACCTCATTCACAGAAGGGAATGAATATTAAATAAAGCTAAAGGGCGGTGTTAATTAATTATTCCTCAAGCGAATCTTCTTACGAAAAGCACTTTCGTGGTTTCAATCAAGCATATAAGCAATAAAGATACGAAAATAAGTGATGGAAATGAACTGAGCCACATCAGCAGCACATTGGTAAAAAAGCCATAAGGAGAAACTGAATCACATTCCTGTAACGGGCTCCAGGATCGAACTACTATCGAGCAATGTCAACAGGCTATGTGGGGCGACCCTGAACGCACTGTGGTGAGTGGCAAAAAGTTGTCTGTGTGCGGGTTTGAACCTGACCTAGCAGAGGTTGTTTCATCAGCGGGGGCGGCTGCAAGAGGCCGCCGGCAGCGCGGCTAAAAACGCCAGTAGGGACGTGCTGGGAAGCGTCGGGTCTCAGTCGATCCCCAGCGTGGTACGATTTTTATTTGAAAAGCAATGTTGCACATTGTTTTTGTCTGCATCTACGGGATGATAACTAAGGCAGCTTTGAGACTGGCTGAATTGTGTTTGGCTTGTGGCGCACTTTTCTGTGATTTTGCGTCTGATCAAATCAGTTTAATCGCACAGCCTAATCATCTGACTCAAAACTGGTCCAAATATGATACCTACTTGAACGAATGATTCTTATTCTACCTAACCTAACGTCATTAAAGTGTCATGAAATACTTACGGGAACTTCATGGTAGAAAACTCCCGATATTCGAACACCCTAAAAAGACTTCATAAACCCACTATACCCGTAAACGGATGTTTCATTAGTGACGTCATATCCTCACTTCCTCAGTAGATTTCCAGTGATTTCGCCTCCATGTTTGCTGCGATCAAACAAAATGACGTTCTCCCTGTGATTGTAACACATGGCCAGATTAAAATGCTAAAGCCGACAGGTAAAACGCCATGTTTTACCCTCCGCCAAATCGCAAGGATGTTAGGCTTTTCATGTTCGAGCATAACCACAACATACCATACACGTATCTAACATGCCTGCTAGCGTGCAGTAGCCTCATGCAAACCGGGAAATTCTGTGAATAGGGGCGGCTTTTCGCGCAGTTCTATAAATAGCACGGCCAGTAATCATTGGACAAGGACTTACTACGAGTGGGTACAAACCGGTCTGAGTACCGTTCATTCCAAGGATCAGATCAGGAAAAATCCTGTCATTCACTCATATTACATAATGTGCTATGACTGAATGATGGTCCTGCACCAATAGCCAAGCCGCTAACGGTGTTTGACATGTTCGAAATGTGCATTTAGCACATCTTTGCAGCAGCCTTTATTAGTCGGAGATGCAAAGGAAAATGTTTAATATATTGAGCGCGCAATAAATTGAGTATATAGCTCCGCGGATATATTGGGTGTTGTGTGTACCTCTGTTACTGGGTATTCATCAGGTATGTACGTACGGCGTGTATCTGGGACTAACTAGCACTCATCGGGTACGTCGTGTACAGGTCTCGCGGGTTTTAGCGGTAGGTTTTGCACCTAGAAAATTTAGTGTACTTCAGGCTATATCTTCGTCGTCTTAAGCTTTTAAGCGTTGAAGATGCAATCGACTCGTTGGGTAACAAGCCGGCCATGATCGTGTAAAATGGCTTCATCGTAGATCGATTAGTTTCTGAGATATAACCGGAAATGTAAAAGTGCAAAACCTACCTCTTAATCTCGCGAGACCTGTACCTCGGGTACTCACCGAGCATGAGGAAGGGCGCCGCCAGGTTGATGCCGATGAAGGGCAGTCCGCAGTACATGAGCAGGCCGAACGCGGTGCCGGTGGCCAGGGTGGCGCTCACCACTCCGAGCAGACCGACCAGAGGCTTGGAGCGCACACAGTCACCCATCATCGACGTCACGATGCAGAAAATGACCATGATGGCCACGGTGGCGAACATGAACGGCATGATGGAGATGGTGTTATCCTCCAGCTCTGTCTGCAGAGTCTGAGAGCGGAACCGAGCGATCCGGATGTGCCTGAACGTATGGATGTGCTCCTCGAGCACACGCAGGACTTCGGTCTCCCATTGCAGCGAGCTGGGGGAAGGAGGGGCGAGCGTTAGATTGGTTACATCATGAGCTAATAAGCGGGTAGCGATAAAAGGATAATCATTATTTGTGTTATATGGAATGTACATGCTTGATATGAACACGGGACAGCTTACGTTACATTACCGCCAAAGCATAGGTATAGGACGTAAGAGGCGGCAACAGTGTTTTACCAAGGAACTTGCAGTTAGCTTTCCAGAATTATTCTGACATGATCTGACCACGTCAGCACAAATAAAACTGCCCATCAGCAAAATTTTATCGCCACGAAGAATGTCGGCACCTGGTGCTTTGTTTAGTCACACGGTGATTGCTGAGACCTCCCGGCAGTAACTACGTGATCGTCACGGCTCGAAAGACCTTGCCGTGTGGAACTTTGCACCCGGACCTATACGAGGTGCTGAGCTGCACTAAGCCAGCGCCGAAGTGCTCGCGTCCCAGCACGGAGTTTTCATGTACCGTGTCGCAGTACACGGCCGTCCGTGATGCAGATGCAAAGTGCTGACGCGCGTACCCAGCTCGAGTGTTCGAGGCTGGGAAGCCCAGCGGCTAATGCTAGAGTGGGTGGTTCGCGTCTCATATGTAAAGTAGCAATGAGCTTATCGCGTACCCCTCAAGGTATTCCTGTCGGAACAATATGGCCCTGATGGCCCCGACGCGACCACTAAGAATAAATGCACTTGGTTGGCTGACAATCACGCCCAAAATCCTTATCTCAGGTCCTGAATGGGATCGTAAAACGTTCAGTAATTCATCACACCATGTTTCGACGCGAAGCTGTTCCCTTCATTAGCACAGAGTTCCCATGACCCATTCTCAGGACACTATTAATCTCCCGCTGTCTCTCATCCGCCCTGGAAGGTTTATCCCGCCCCCTGCGAGCGCCGCGCGGCACTACAGCCGACGTGCCGGCGTTGTCCCGCGCCGGAGCCCCGTGTCCTGTCGTCTACCACGTCACAGGAAACAGGACTGCGGGTTGGTGGGTCCGCTACCTTGACACGGTATTCTGAGACGGGGGCGGTTCGGGCGCAGCGGGCAACACCGGGAACCGGGCTAACGCAACGCATCCGGGAGGAGGCGGGGTCCTAATCAGAGGGCACACAACGGAGCCAGCGAGGGAAGGGAGGGAAATAGACGACGAAGGGGGAGAGCGAGATAAACAACACAAAGCGAAGAACCCGGAACGTGATCGTTAAACTCATCTTCCCAGGTCGGGGAATTCCCACCGATTGTTGGGTTTTCCCAGACTGGTGAATGACCGCTGCACGGACAGAGGGAGAGTGAAGGGAGACCGAGAGAGGGAGTCTATTCATCAGCGAGAGCCGGATACGCGGCGTGCGAGAGGCGTCTGTTGTGCTGCCTCCGGACGGTTGCCATGACGACAGACGAAAGTGAAACTCGCGGGCACCGACGACAGCCTGTGCGGTCACTCACATCCGGCCCGTTACGTATTGCGATGGTGCAACGGCGTTGGCGGTTGATGGTTATTTCGTTGCGTCGGGATAGCCCCTGCATCATCACACCTTCCGGGCACGCAGGAAACCGGAGCTGATTTCGCCGGTGGGTCATCCCGCTCCAGGTCACGGGGTCCACACCGGACACGGACTCAGACGCGGACACGGACACGGACACGTGCGAGTCCGGGTATCTGGTGATCGAAGAGAGACCTGGATGGCGCAACTGGCTCCATCCGGCGCGGCGCCCGGTCAGGTCAGGGTCCCGCTGCGTCCGGCCGCCCTGGCCTGAGTTCCGCTGCGCTCTTTGATTCATCTCTCAAAGCCGTGCAGGCGCGGCGCAGCGGTGTAGCGAGGAGCGCAACGCGGCCCATTTGTAGACGACGAACGGTGGCCGCGAGTGCCTCTTTATAGGCAGCACGTGACAAAAAGCGCGTGTCGCGGATTCCAACGCGAGAGCCGCTAGCATTCCTTGCAATGCAACGCCTACGAATGAGCTTCAACAGCGCACAATACCTTGCGGAGGGTACGGGGTTTGGCTGTTTGTGAGGTGTTGATACCAAGCAGGCGTCTGTTTATGCTAAATTATGACTAATGATCGGGTCTTATACGTGTCTATAGTTAGTTTATCTTTGTTGTTGCGGTTAAAAGACGTAACGCAGTGTTCTAGGTACAAAAAGCGCATATTTTTGACACGAAGAAGACTGAGTTAACCCGCGCCCGGCTGGGGGTCCTGGATTTCCACGCCCTGCTGGGGGGGGGGGGTGTTTGAACACCCCCCCCCCCCCTTCTAACTCGGCTCCCGGGCCACGTAGCGATACGCGGAAGGCGGCGTTCGAAAGAGCGTCAAAAATAATGAGGAAATCACTTCGGTCAATTTTTTGGTCAGGTCAAAGGTCAGGTCACCAGAGGTCATTGAAGGCAAAATTTCGCCGATTTCCAGGTCGAATGTCGACAATTTCCAAGAAGCCAACGCTTAACTCGGGAACCAATAGAGCTACAGCGCCGCGGAAACAGTGGCGGCGGAAGCAGGGGGGCAAGGGGGGCAGCTGCACCCTAAAGCTATGGAAAGGGGCGCCTCGAAAATCTGTAGAGGAGGCATGGGAAGTGAGGTGCGGCAGCCATAAAGCTGAGCAGTGCGACACCGCAACTGATAAAGGCACTTGTGACACGAAGACGGTGGCAATGACCTGGGAAAATTATCTTTTGATATGCTGAAGAGTGGAGGGCATCCTTATCTGAAACAAAGGCAGATGCTGCCGACCCTGTCGAATATAATCATGCCAGGCGATAAAGGCTAGGAGGGCGCAGCCACTCGAGAAGCGCGCCATGCGGAAGAGGGGCGCCTGCATGCGAAAGAGGGGCGCCTGTGTGTGGGACGAAAAAGAAACATTTATGGAGACGTCTTTGAAGGCGATAGCCTCCGAACGCCAACACGAACATATAAGGTCTTCTAGCGTTGCAGGCTCCATGCGACAAAAAGGGGCGCCTGATGGCCGATATGCGAGAGGAAATTAGTTTGTGTAACATTTATCGGGGGCGGTTTGCCGTTTACAACATATGAATGTTAAGGGAGGTCCGAGATTGGGGCCTGTAAAATTGCACTGTCCGTATGGGCGGTTACACCCCTAGTGCTAGGGCGTATTTTGCGTTTTTTTTCTGGGGAGATGATTATGACTGCAGGAATAGCACTCTGCAAACTTCTATGGGCGCCTGTATAGGGGCGAAACTGATTTTCCAGTGCAGGGACGGCCATCGGCATTGTGGGGCGGCATTCATTCCACTGGGGCGTCTGCCAGTGTTGAAGGGCGGTATTCATTTCAATGGGGCGCCCGTTGGTGTTGATGTTCACTGTTTGTGTTACTACAACCGTGTATATGGTAAGGGGCGCCCAGCGGGAAGGGGCGCTTCAATATCGTTTGCACCCCTATCCTAGAATACCTTCCGCCGCCACTGCGCGGAAAAGCGCATTCGATAGCCCTATTAACGCCCTTTCTGAGTAATTCTCTCAGATTTGACCTAACGTCAACGTTTTGCCTGCAGGGGGCAAAAACTGCAAAAATAGCCGATTTTTTCGGAAACAATTTTTCTGCAATAACTTTTGACCCAAGCCTTGTACGAGCTTACTTTTACCGGCATCGTGTTCCTCTCGTCAAGACGCATCGAATGAACCATAACTTGACCTTGAAAGGTCAACTTGAAAATTTGACCTCAGGTCAAGGTCATGACCTGACCGGAAAGGGTCATGTTGCATATCAGTCGATCCGTATCGTCGAGCTGAACACATCTAAGGCGTTTTCATCGCTCTAGCGTGCCTCTATCAAAAGTTATTTGCGAAAAACTGTTAAATACCATTCGTGACTTAAGATGACCTCAGGGCATAAACAGGGGTCACGGACACCATTTTCATGTTCAGTGTGTCTAAACTGCTTGTAATTCAGTGTTTGGGAGTGTTTATAATGTCTTTCGTCCAAAAGAGGCGCATTTCAATTTTCTCCCATTGACTTATAATGGGGAGGTCGCAAAATTGACCTGACCTTAGGCCATCGATATCAAAATTCTGAGATATACATTTTGTACATGCTATTGCTCTTAGCAATCGCTGAAAGTTTCAAAGCGATCGGTCACTCGGTGTAGCTATGACAGACATTGAAACTTTTTATGAGGTGAGGTCACGTCAAGTGACCTGGTGACCTGACCTTGAATGACCTTGGTCTGAAATTTTCACAACATGTGTAGAATTGATGTATGATAAGGTGTACCAAAAACCACAAGGGGGTGTTCAAACACCCCCCCCCCCACCAGGGCGCGGGTTAACCAGGGCTATGGTAATGCGATGTCTTTCCTCTCCAGGTTTTTCGCAATGTTTTTGAATTTCACGAATAGCGCGCTGGAGCGTCGCCGAGCTGAATACGCATCGAATGTTGCTGAAGGCTGGTATCTATGGTAGTTTCTGTAGTCTGGGCAGTGTCAGGCGTCCTGAGCTGCGTCGCCGACTTTTTATATAATCCACGCAATCGATGTTTACCACGAAGCGACCCTTTGATCTGTTCTTGATCGTGTTCACATACAGTCGTCATGGTGACGTACGACACTCGACCATATCACCATGGCAACGTGAATGGACAGCCTCGCAGCCGGCTGAGTTTCCGAAGCTGTTCAACTGGCTAACCGTCACGACTATCGAGCCACTGGACTGAAATATAGACGAGGTATTATTGTGTCGAGCCGTGTTTCCCTGGGCCCAGTCTCACGTGGGGAGGGTTATGTAACGACTAGCTACCGGACAGTCCAGGTTGGGACAGGCTAAATGTCACGTACCTGCCTGCAGTAAGACCAAAGCTATGGACCGAACCAGACTGTGGTATATGATACCTATTATAGTGCCGGCTATGAGCCAAAACGCGAGTCCTGTCCAACGGGAATTGGTTTAAACAGCTTAAACGACTTGGGCTGAAGGTGAGTGACGAAAAACGTCAAAGAACAGGCTTTCGTTGGAACTGCTTGGGATTATTAAATGCTTAATATGCTTAATAGTGGAAAAGCTGATCGGATTAGGCTTATTACACCAGTAAAGCGGCTGATGTCTCAATTGTCAATCGCTCGGGAAGCCTTATTAGCTAGCTGAAGCATTACATGCAACATACTGCTTCTCCACAAACATGTACCGTCTCGCAGCAGACAAAGCATTCATGGTCATATTGTTGTAATTAAACACGTAAATTGATGACGCCTTAAACAAAATAAAACAAATTGCTTCGTATGAAAAAGGAAGTGGAAGTTGCAAGCAGATCAGAATGGGAGAAGTGCGCAAATTTCACTCCCGAATTATCATAGACAATTTCGGTAATTTTGAAAGAAACGCATAGCGAACAAGACAACTAAGAATTTGTGCGCCGTGTGTTGCATAAGCGCCATCATTAGTTTTCTCCAACACCGCACGTATGGATAAAAAGTCGCTTGATATGAGAACTGAGAATGTAGCCCAGCGCATACATATTCTATTCTGTTTGATATCGTAGAACTATTTAATGTCACACCTGGACCTGCTAAGTCAACCGACCGTTGGGCGCTGGCAGTGCAATTAGCGCTAAATTGGTGGAGTTGAACACCGATAAAAATGTGGAACGAACGGTACACGACACCTTCACTTGTTAAATTTTAGGACTGGGCGCTCCCCGGTCCGTTTTCAGCGCAAGCCGTTAAGTCCAACATTTGTAGCTAACAAGCTTTTTTTCATTTTGCTACTTGATGACATCAGCTATGCTTAATTAAACTTGAGTCTTAAGCTTAAATGCCGACAAAGATCAATGTCCAACTAGAGTTAAACCATGGGTCGAAGTATTAGGAAAGCTGTCGTTGGGCAAGGCTGGACTGGCAACATCTAAGCTCTGAGCTTCTTTCCAGCATTTGGCTTGCTTTTCGTTCGGTCAATACCACGCCTTGCTGCCGGTCAAGTTTCGACAGAACACGCATTTGACAGATAAAAATCAGCCACGAGTAGATGTGTTCCGCGCTTGTCGCTGTATTGAGAGACGCGAGGGACTGATAAAAAGCGTCACTCTGGTTAGGCCGCTTTCGGATCTAGCTGCAGGACCGTGCGGGCGCTTGTCTGTGTGAAGGGATTACTATAGGAACGTGAATGTCAACGCGCGTATCCACTGAGCAACGATTTCGCCCACTTTCGCTTGTTGCCCGGTCTGGTTTCGCTTTCAGTGGTCGTCCTTGAAGGCAAATTTACAATGTTGCAGGATTGACAGGACGGAAACATTGGTAAGCAGGTGGCTGTCGGGAAACATGAACCAGTAGTTGACAGCTTCACCTTGGAAGATCAGCTGATGTATTCGTGAAGCAAGAGATGCCATACCGGTTCAGACGCATCATATTTGCCAACGTTTTAATTCCTTTTTATGGACGACAGCATATAGGCAGCTCTGTCACTGGGTCAGGCTACAAAAGGCTCGGTTATTTTACGAGTATCACGCAACACGAAGCCTGGCTCTGAGTCATCTTTAGGCCGATTCAGTCATCCTCCCGAGCACCGGTCTGGCCGTAGTACGGCGGCCGGCCGGTGCGGGCCAGCCTACCTGCCAGGCGCCGCGCGCCCGCCGCCGGCGGGGACCTTGGCTCGGCCCGCCGCGTTGCGCCATATGGGGTGAATGTAAACGGTTCGCTTCACAGGCCCGGCCGCAAAACGGTACAGACGGACGCCAACTAACACACAGAGAGACAACTGCTCGGCTGCGGGTGCCATCGGTCCAGCTCCGAGATATCCTATTAGTTTGCGAATCGAAAACCGGAAGCTAATTTTGCTGTCCTGCTGCACTGATTGCATTTTATTTCAAGCTTTTGATTCTGCTGATAATTTTACCTGGCGACTTTCACGGAATTCTGACTTGTATACCTGTGGCATTACTCACGTTTAAATATGGGTGTGCTCTTGCTCCAATTCGAGAGCGTGGTAAACCAAAGACTACCACAAGCGACCTCCCGCTCCCCCTGCCCCTAACCACATCGCGTGACCATAGATTGGCACTGAGCCAATTGAACACCGACCGTCAGACCAGGTGCCGCCCAGTCCATTATGTCTCTGACATGGCACCACTGAGGGCTTTAATCCTGTCACTAATCTACAGACCCATTACATTTCCTTCCCCATCTCCATTGATCCGGGCCGAAACTCCCTGAATTCCCCGAAACCAGTCACGAATTCACAGTAAATGTCGTGATGACGATGCCGTGATAACTGAGCAATATGGAATTCGGCACAATCTGATAATATGGCTATTAAGCGACGGGGGCTTAGCGCTGCTTATGGGCTTAAGCATTGGCATATACCCCAGCACGTCACCCGGAAGCGTACAGAGACCTCATCAAGGCAGGTAATAAATTATTCAGAAGGCATGCACCATCCCAACAAACGACATTGAGAGGCCACAGCAACCACTGCTTGGTATTAACCTAGAACAAGAGCTTGAGCCGAGCATCTGAAGGACTGTGGTTGCTAGGGACTGTCACGCATGACGTCTCCCCAAACGACAAACATGTGCGTGTTTGTCGGAACTTGGGCCCGCTGTGTGGTAAATACCAGCTGTGCTGTTGTCCACCGCAACCGGAGAACAGTTACCTACGCCAGCCTAACGGCAGACTACGGTACGCCTTCATGTTTCGGGATGGACGATGGGAAGTGTGGTTGGCTGACGGGAATTCCAAGAACGTTGGAAGTTTCATGAGCAGAGGTGCCGTGAGCAGACCAGAGGTGCAGAGGTGCCATCCTGCTTCATGTATATTGACAGCAACTGCAAGGACATTCGACAGAGACATGACCTGTATTGATTAGGTTTGAGCAGAGGTGTTGGATCATATGTAGAGGAGGACCAAATGACCTTAAAGGGAAAATGTTGATTACTAGTGCCATGACGAGCTGAAATGGCAAACGTGTTTGTGTATTGTGTAGATGTTATCATTGTGCTTTACCGATAGAAGTACTTACACATTGACGTCGAAGTCGGTGTGGTTAGAAGCCCAGTAGAGCAGCTGGAGGGCCGGCACTTCTTGCAGATGTTCGCCGCTCACCACAGGAGATCCCAGGGACGCGGGGAACACAAAGATGTCATAGTTATCACTGAACCAGATCGGGTACGTCAGGTTGAGCTTCCCGCTCACGACATCGGGCACGTACGGTGCCAGCTTCACGATCGGGTTCCCCAGACACTTGCCCTCCCAGCGGGCGCACAGGTCCTCGAACGTCCAGTCGCGCTCGCCGTTGCTAATCGTGACGTTGGACACGATCGAGTCCAGGCGGACAATCTCGTCAAACACCTCCGGTCGTATGAGCGTGCCGTCGTCAGTGGCGGTGATGAGCAGGCGCACGAACTTCCCCAGGTCGGTCATCCGGCTGGGGTTGAAGCGCGTGAAGTTATCCGGGAAGAACTCCTTGACGATGGCGCGCTCCTGCTTGGCGCGTCCGGTGACCGGCGAAAACAGGTACTCGGGGTCATCCTCGTAGTAGATGCGCTGCGACCCGGTGGCGGCCAGCAGCGTCAAGAAGAACGGAATGATGATGAAGTAGCTCGGATGTTCGCCGACCTTGTGGCCGAGCTTTTTGAACCAGTTGGTCAGCAGCCTGTCCACGATCTTGAATTTGTCGCTGCACTTCATGGTGACGGCAGAGTGGGCCTCGAGCGCCTGCAGGACAGATAGGTGCAAGTCAGAACAGGCCGGAAGCTGGTGAGGACGAAGCTAGCACAGGCGGTGTTTAGGACTCATCAAAGAGCGAGGGCCAGAATAAACGGTCGGCTTTGCATTGTCATTAGTCTTTATATAATTAAGGCCTGATCATACCGTGCACGGGGAGCTTTTCATCAGAGGAAGGTGGTTCATCTTGGCATACGTTACAAGTGCATACCATGACTGGAATTAATTACCTACATGTGAGATTTGTAATGCACGCAGCATTGACCGAAAATGTTTCCGGGGTTCGACCGAACGAGTCGAAATACCACCAACTTCCCTCACTCAGCGTTTTACCCATCCATCAAATCACACTGCCAGCTGTGTAGGGTGCCGTTATGTGGGCGCGCCTACGTGTGTACGTCTCAGCAGCACCGTCTATCATCGCCCATGGGTGCCTGGGGGGCGCCGCTGGGCGCGCCCAGGTGCTGACACCCAGCGGTGAAGGGCGCCATGAGAAATGGCCCTCCTGAACTGAGAGCCACTCGTCTTACGCCGCCTCTCGGCCGACCTGGCGAGGCGGCGGCCGTCACCGACCCGTCGCCCTCGCGCCGTCTCACGACCGGCCCTCGCGCGAGGGCCGGTCGCATCGAGACGGCGCCGGCGGCGGCGACCGGCGTACCCGACTAATGACCGGCCGGCCGGGCCGCCGGCTGCAGACGCCCGGTCGCCGATCGGGCCGCGCCGGCCCCGACTGGCCAAGGCCAGACTCGCTGTTCGGCCAGACCTTCGAGCCCTGTCCCCGCACCGCCGCCGCCGCCGCCGCCCGCCGCCGCTTCAAGGTTCACCCACATCGCATGCACGTGCGTGGAATGCCAGATGTCGGATGCTGCGTGGCCCGCTGCAGGCGCCGCCCAAGGACTTCATCGTCCGGCGAGCCGAGAAAAGGACCTCCCAGGCTCCCGCTGCACGGCTCTCGGAATAGCCCCAGGGCTGGTTTAGCTGACTTATTCCAAGTCTTAGGGGCGTGCCTGCCCCGGGTGCCCTTCCTTCAAACTGCCAGCCTGCTGGGAGGTAATCACCCACGAGATCAGGCGGCAATTAGTCAAGCACCACCGCTGCAAGAGGGCCAGACTGCGCGGCGCCAAGGGGGTGAAACTGGCGCCGCTCGAGCTCCCATGGTCGTTGCGTGCGTTCGACGCCAGCGCCATCGCTACCGCTGCAGGGATAGTGGCGTTACACAGGATGCTACGGACATCGTGGAACCTCCAACCTAATTTCGGCTTCTTTTCTCTACCATAAGCGTGACACAAACAGGCTGGGTGGTCGGTGGGCCGTGAAGGGACTGCCCTCAGGCCGTTCGGACCTCCCATGCGTCACTGGCCGCCAGACGGTCCCACAATCCGACCCATGGTGGTGGATGTGAGTCAGAGCGAAAGTCAGTCGACATGCCTCTGGGGTACGGCCAGCAGGATTGCCAGTATGCACCACATAATGCTTCATAACAACGCATGGAAAACCAAAACTCACTGAGTGCGTTTCATCACAGCACGAAGACCACTCGTGCCAAGAAAGACGTTCTCCGTTAAGCGAAAGGGAAGAGAAGGGGTCTGCTGCACAGCTGATGCCTCAGCTTCCCCTGAACATCATCCCGGTGTCTGTCGCGCCACCTGGCTACCGAGTCGTGTTCTGAGAAAGTGCTCACTGCTCACGGTACCGGAACTGGATGGGCTGAAGGGCGACAGTGCTCGACGCACTCGGCCGAACAACTGGAACACTGGTCTGCCTCGATCGGCTTCTGTATTGTTCTCGTCCTGGCGACGCATCATGGACTGGCTCACATGAATGTGCCAAGTGCCAAAACGAGTGCATTCTGGTAGTACGTACTTTTGTTGCCACATCATAGGTTCCTCCAAGCTCTTGGACGCTTCACCTGCTGTTCTTTCTATTTTACTTCTCTCTCTCTCTCTCCCTCTCTCTCTCTCTCTCTCTCTCTCTCTCTCTCTCTCTCTCTCTCTCTCTCTCTCTCTCTCTCGCCCTCTCTCTCCCACGTGCCTCATACGAGCAATCTCGTAGCGTGGTTCGCCGCGGGGCAGCAGCTACCACCTGACGTAACACCTCTCCCTCAGCCCTCACCATTTCTGACGTAACGGTCCACATACGCGTGTCGCCGTCGGGACTCACTTCCAACCAAGGCCCAGTTCAGATCCGACGCGTTGGTAGGACGCATACTGATCAGTTCTGACGCCAGTCTATCGGTTCGTCGTCTGAGGGCCGGGGCGCAGTGTGAAACGGCGGCAGTGTTGAGCAACGTCCGGTGCGTATACGGTCGGGTGGCGATGATATAGAAAGGACCGGGGCGGGGAGGGTGGGTGACGGTAGGTGGACGTGCAGGCGCGATCGGCTTGTCCGGTGGCCCTCGGAGTCTCTTTGAAGACCCCTCGCAGAGTTCTTGCAGACCTCCCCCGGACCCCCGCATTTGCGGCTTGTCCACTGTTCGGCTGATCGACTCGCAACCCTTTCGAGGTCACGGCTTCGGGAGCAAGAGTGACATCAAAGGCCGGAGGCGCCTGGCGTGACGTGTCACGTGACCGATGCATCACGCCACGTGACCCTCGCCTGAGGCGGCAGGATGCAGCTACTCGGTGTCACGTGACACCTGGTAAGGTGCCCCGTCGCCGTCCGATGCTGCCTGGCCTTGACATACCTGCAGGGTACGCCGGTGTTGTATCACCATCCGGTCCGTCACCGACGTCCGCTCAGGAGTTGGATGGGTTCCGGAAAATTGCATTGTGCAATGTACCCTTTAGTAAGGTATTCGCGTGATGCATGTACCTCGTAAGTATTCATCTTAGGAAATCGACCTACGCACAGGTACATATATTATGCATGCACACTTTTTACGTAACCGTTTGTTGAAATTCACTCTCAGTCGTAGGGGCTCGCCAAGTCTGCGAAGAACAGGGACCACCCACCGCAGCTACGCAGTTTTTGCCGTTGTGTCCATGCCAAATCGAGACAAATCTGCCCAGAACAATGGAGTGACATGGATTTCATATACCGTCTGCCTTTGGCCGATTACTCAATGGTGCCCGTGAAGCCAGCAACTGGCGTCATACGATCCGCAGTTCAGAGTCGTAGAAAAAAAAAAAACTAGCCAACCCATTCGGCTCTTTGACATTGCCACGGACGGACGAATGCATCTTAGAGTGACACAAGCTAAGTTGATTCGTGTAAATTACAGGCTGTTCCCGACGGAAGTCAATACGTTTCCTGTCTAAAACTAATCTGCTACAACCACTTGGATACATTGAAATCAATAGGGACATTGAGTGAGTTGTCAAACTTAATGGAGCCAGACGTGATATGAGCAGTGAGCACGTACTGAAGAAGACTCCCAAAGGTCGTTTACTTCCACCACTTCAGTTGGTGAGCAGTCATCGGTACCCACCTTCACTGTTCATTGGGCATTCAAGACAGAATACACCGGAGGCGATTTGGTTCCGCCCCTCCAGCAGACACTCGAGGTGCGAACCGGAGCTGACAGCGTGCGTAAGCGAAATTCCGAGGAGAGAGTGTATCGAAAGGTGTGGGAAGGGGGGGGCTCCAGTCGTGACTTCCGAGATGTTGAGTAACTGTCTGGGGGGGGGGGGGTCGCCGGAGGGGGCGGGGAACCGGGAACCGAGAGCACACGTGAGGGGGGCAGTGACCGGCATTAAATGGCGACGATGACGGGTAGGTTTTATTCAATGGGACGGCAGGCTGCTGGACGCACGTCCGGTCATTGTCGCCACTGGAGAACGGAGATGTGAACGAAATGAAAGCAATCTTGACAGATACCGGTAATCCCGTTTTCACTTTCGCCTAACGCTGGACAATAGTTGGAGGAATGCTCCTAATTAAAACGGGGCGAATGTCGCACGTTAACCCAGTAATTGTAAGGGTGTGGTAACATGCGTCTGGGTACTGTTCAAATAAGATTATCGACATGATTAAGACAACACAAAAAAAGAAAAGGCATGGATATTATTGTACCTATGTGTGTAGTCGTTCACTTCTCCACATCAGTATAGTCTACTCTATGGTGTAACATAAGCTAGATAAACATAACTAAGCAGTACTTTGCCTTGGCATAAACACGAGCTTCAGGCGATCGTAACCAGTCCTGTGAGAAAGATACCTATTGCAGCTGCATGAAAATGTTCCCTGTCGTAATCGAAACTAAAGGCCCTTGCAGGGCTGGTTCTTAAAATATTAAACGCTTTCTCAACATTTAAATCGGTCTGTCGCAGCAGCCTTCAAGGCTATGCAATGTAATGTTTGATCTCTGAGATAGACTTCATATCAAAGGGGAGGATTTATCCATTGCATTGCTGAAAACGAACAATTTTGAGCATATCATTTCCATGGTCACTAGACTCAGCGTATTTTATCTTCCAGTTCATTCTTAAATTAAATGCTTATTATAAGCGCAGCCTCATCCGTTATTTTTACTCGCAAGGCTATCACAACTGAAAGCAATAAAGCCGATGGATAAAGTTGCCATTCACATGCTGGTTTTATTTTAACAGGGTTCTCCATGTCCATGTTTCCATTCCTCTTGAAATGAAGCGGTCCTCGAAATGCTGAAATGTATCGTCATGATCCGAACAGCACCTGCTGGGTGAAAGTGCAATGCATATTGGCTTTTATATCCTCTAATGTTCACAGCCGTAGCGCTGTGCCTAACGCCCATTTTGCTTGACTTGGAAAGCTTCGTTGCATACAATAAGATCGTTTAGCAAGAATTTATAAATTATGGAGTAAATGGATTTAGGTATAATCACTTATGATGACCTTTGTCAATGATTGAACTGGTGGGTGTGCGAAACTGTGACTAGATTCCCCCGTTTAATTGACCAGTGGGTGCGCGCCAGGCCATCCTCGAATATCAGTAAAAGACGCATACATCCGCGAGCGATGTAGAACAAGCCTCATCCACCTGCTGGGAGCTTTGACGCCCACTTTGGGCATCTGTCAAAGATTTCTACGGCTGTACGGCGCTCGCCTATTATGACAACACTAAAAAGCCTCAGTGAGGCGCGAGCGTTGATCCATGGCGGCGTAGTTATTTTGATCCAGCGCTCATGAAGCTGCGTAACGGTCCACAGCGTGGCGGCTGAAGAGAGTCTGTGAGAGGCCGACAATGGAGACAGTGACTGGCGCTTTCTCGACAAACCGTGCGTCTGCTGACGAACGCCTCTCGACTGGGTCACTGGGACTTGTGTCCTAAGGTCTGCAAAGCACGGCCGAAGGCGGCTGAAACGAATTTTCGCATCCCGGCCATGGATATACCTACCTTACGAGATTTAGCCAGCGAGAAGCTCCCGACAGTCAACAGATAAATAACGGTCCTTCGTCCCGAAATTCGATATCTGTTATGTGCTTCATTCCAACTGGGTTTAGATGATATCCTGCACCTGAGGCCATTAGGGCCAGTGGGTCAACGCAACAACAAGTTCAACTTATAATCTGAGCACCACGCCAGTGCGTACGCATTTCTCGTGTTTCTGCAGATATGGGCCTGGATTATCAGATGTCCTGAGCTGTGGTGGCCCACTTACATCGGCTGATCTTGTTGTGGAAGCTCTGGGAGATATGAGTCCCGTTATTGAGGACTTGGTCCAAGAAGAGGGTCATAGAGCGCTATGGTAGTCGGTATAAGAGTCTGGGAGCACGAGATAGAGCAAAATGACTTATCCATTGTACGTTCAAAGTTTGGGAATGCGTTTTGTTTGATGCCATAACTTATGAGACTGGCCGTTCAAAATCAACGCCCTGCCAAACCTGATCTCTCGTACAACAAATAGATGAGGGAGGCCTTCGTGATCCGAGCAGCTGGACTCGCCTCTGCGCTGGTAATCAAATGCGCCCCATGAGGAGTTGTGAAATAGCGTCTGATTCTGCACCTCTCTTACATGCGATGTCCCCAACACATGCGGCCTTGTCTCAGCGTGTAGGGCCGCGTGGCGCACGTGTATTTCATGCAATCGTTTCACTACATGACACTCTAAACGGTGCTGGTGGCGGCTCTGTAAGATTGATGGCCACCCGCCGTGCAGAACGGGAACGGTCGCCGAAAGTCTGAACAAAGCTGTCGCCCAGCACCATCCTTTTGTCATCGCCATTTCTACGTCACTGGCGCCGACATTGCGTCCAGTGATTGGCTGTTTACGGTGTGAGCTCCAGTGACGTCAGCTGTGTCAGGACTGGGGCCGATTGGCAAACAGCTAGCCATGACGCAAGTGCTGATGCTCCGGTGATCCTTGGTGACTGGTGACGCCTCGTATCACCACTACACACCGCGCATCGTGACGTGACATATCATGGCCGGTACGCGTCACGTCCGACGTGCGTTACCGTCGAGACCGACGGCAGATAGAGCTCGACGCGGTGGGTGTGACAGACGGCCGAAAGGCGCGGCGAAAATAACGCCGGCGGCGGGAGTTGCGTATTGCGATAAGCGACGTTTGACCTTAGGTGGCGGAATTGAGCGTGTGCGGCTGGTTCTGGGTGCCAGACCGGGCGCCTCGTCCCGCGGCGGTTGGTACCGGTGCGCCCACCACGCCCTGCGCTCGAGGTGTGGCCAGCGCCGCCCCAGGCCCCGCCAGCCGTGGGCACGGGCCGGCCAGGGCCAGCGCCGCCGACCGCTGACATAACTGACGCCGTTGCAACATGCAGTCCACACTCAGCCACCGGAACAGAGCTCGACTGGGAGCTGTGCGGCGCCCCTGGCTGCGGGGTCTGTCCTGTGTCACCGATTTAGAAACACCCGTCTTACTCTGGCGCCGCTCTGGAAGTCATGGCGGCTTTAGCCAGTTAAATATATCACAAATGGCTCAAGGTGTTACCAGTAAAAAATTCCCCTGATATTGTTATTATTCCATCCTTCATGCCTCTCTCAGTACCGTCTCGGCAGCCTCCCCACTCTCGGTTTCTTCCTCCGCCTCTGCGCCGGCCAACGCAAAGACCCTGACCAACTTGAAGACGACACAACCAACCCGCGCCGTTTACACATGGCAGCAGCCGGTGCTCGATTCAAATTCAGCAAGGCCAGGGTCCACCCTCGTCAGATCGATCAGCCTCAGCCGCCGCCAAAACCCACAGCGCGGCGGGCGCGGCTGCGGCGCGCGAGCGCTGGCGGGCGGGCCTCACCGGCGGCAAGTTACTGACCTATTTACAGTCGGAGTCGCCGGGCGCGGCGCGCCGAGGCGGCTCAGCGGCGCGCGGGCCAGGAGACCATGCATGCTAAGTGCGCTACGAATAGACCGCCGGCCGGCATCGGCGCAGGTAGCATGGAAATCTCTGGTGATACTGGATCCGAGCAGTTTACCGAGATCGTGTTGGATTCGATCTTTGGAGATCGGGTAGCCAGTACTTGGGGAACACTGAAGGGCGTTTAAGATGATCTGGGTTACATACAATGAGACCGGTGTTTTAGGGGATGGGTTGGCTATGTACCCCAGAGCCTCAGGTGTTTGTAATCCGCCGCGAACCCCGCGACCCAGCGCCACAAAGGGTCATCAAATGCCGATCGCTCGGCGCACTGAGCACGGGGCAGGCTCCACGTGCCGGTCGAGCGGAGCCCGCTCGGGTGACCGTGGCCGCCGGACCGTCTGAGCTCGCCCGAGCGGGCCGCTCGTGCGACTCTGCCTCACGAGCAGGCACGATTTCTCCTCTGCTCGGCGCAGCGCCGTGGTGCGGGTGGCCGCTCGCGACCGGTGGGGGCGGTAGCGCCGGTTCCCGGCGGCTTTCGGAGCGCTCTCGGCGCCGGCTGGCTCCGCGCCGTGGGCCCGTGACCCCTCTGCGGCGAGAGCGAAAGGCGGCCGACCGGTCAGCTCGGAGCCGTGCGCCGCCGCCGCCGTCCTGGCCGCCCGGTGCTGCGGTCCCCGCCAAGGTGACGGATTGCCCCACACGGCAGCGTAATTGGCCGGTCCGAAGTCCGGGCGCGACCGTGGCCGGATCGCCACATCTCAGACCAGACGGCTGGACCGGTCGACCTAACTCCGGGCCGGAGCGCCGGCAGCTCAGAGGTCGACATGGCCGGCCAGTATGGAAATGTCGACAATTAATGCGACAGCAAACTGCTTCAGACCAGTTCACAGGCGGCTCATGGTATGTCAGGCAAAGCAAAATAGTAACGGTTCCATGCGGGGCGTAGAAATATCAGATTTCTGCCACAATCCAACATACACGTGAAGATCTAACTTAGAACCCTACCAACGAATGGCACCGTATTTAATGGCGGCCCAGTGGCCTCGATAATACCAGGGTCGAGAGCGCCGGACCGCTCCAGCCGAAATATGTGAGCCAACGGCGGCACCGGAGCGTAGCCGTGAATGGACCAGTGGGCAGGATCGCTGGAGCGGCACCTAAAAATCGTCCGTGGATTCACGCAGAAATCTAAGACTCAGTCGTTGGAGTCGGAGTCGCCTGGTGCGAGTCGGAGTCAGCGGGACCCGCCCTGCCGACTCCACAGGGCCTCAGGGGCTGCCCATGGCACACAGCCGGGAGAATTGCACGGCATGGCGGCGCCGCTCCCTCGTCAGTAGTTGTGCAAGCGAGTGATGAAAACGGCTCCTCCAGCTGCCCGTCGCTGGCCCCGCTCTCTCTCTCTCTCCCCGCGGTGGGACGAGCGGTCCGCGGCGCCGACCGACCCCACACCGTTATATCCCACCGCTCTGCGTGCTCAGAGGTCGACACCTACCTGTCTGCAGGTCCGGTCTGCTGCAGGCGCGGTCGGCAGAGGCGACACTCACTGCGCGGCACGTGCTGCCGTGATCGGCGCGACTCGACGAGTGAACGCCGTCGCCGCCGCTGCGCCGACCGCCTCGCGCGCCGACAGTCGCTCCGCCGCCGCCGCGCATGCGCCCAGAGGGTGCTGGAAGGAGGAGGAGCAGGAGGTGGAGGAGCAGGGGCAAGGTGGGGTTTCCGGGTCGGACCTCCGGCTACGAGAGAAGGATGTGTGAGTCACGTTCTAGCAGGTCCCGCGATCAAAATTTCCAGGTATTTTGAATGTTCAACTTCTTGCGCAACAAAAGTAGGGGTGAGGGTCAAACTGGCCGAAATGGGGAGCCACTATACCTGAATAGGTATGTTTATTTTTTCTTGCTTACGTTTCGACATCCGTTGGTGTTTACTTCTAAGTTTATTTTTAGGTATTTACCTATATCTAGAAGGCTTACGAAATTGTACCGAGGACCCAGGTCAAATCCATAGAGCCTTTGAAAAGCACCATCTCCCATTTCTTGCGTATCACACTCTAACCAAGCTGCTTTGAGTATTGGTGACAAATTATCGATTAACTACTCATAAACCTACGTCAAAAGTGAAATGAGTGTAAACAGGTTGATTAAACCTAAATCGATATGATTTACACTCCAAGCATCAATTAACCAAAAATAGAATAAACTAAACGCCGGCAAGGAAATTGCGAACGTAAATATAAAAGCATTTAAGTTCCCCACGCGTAAATAGCTCATCCTTTGCATTAGTATCTCCGTTCCAAGTGGGAGCTCAGAAGAGATTTCAAGACGGTTCTAAGAAAGTGGTTCAACGCACTTCCCGATTAACCTATACCCAGTGCATTCCTGGCCTCACACGCAGCCATTTGAGGCTCACCTTTCTGGATTTACTGCTCTTTCTTGGACGTAATATGGTGTTTCAGCTTCGTTTTATAGCTAAATATAGCTCACGCCAATAGTGAGGAAAATGGTTCATGCTAGAAAAAGGTAATTAGATGGTGCTAATAGCACCCATTCGTCATGTATATGAAGGAAGATGACAGTGAGCTATACCTACTTGTAGCAATGTCGCGAGGGCATAGGTGCGTGACCGCAGCAATTAATATTTAACTGTCGAGATCCGGCTAAAAATTGACTAATTCGTTTTCCCCCATGTGCTCCCCCCCTCTCCCTTGGTGGAAAGAGCGAAAGCGTCGCCATCGGACTTCTAAAGTAAATCAACGGGCATCCTATAACTAGTTAGTTATCCACATTCACCTTAATCAACAGCCTCGGAGTTTGATCGTGGTTCTCAGTAAGTTTGCCTGAAGACCTGAAAAGGATAGCCTTAAATTTGCATGACCTAAAATCTATTATTTATGGTTTACCTTGTCTATAATCAAGTAAAGTGACCGTACTCTCATAATTAATGTCCAAAATTTGTAAGAAAAGGCCTGATAATTCTGAGGAGCTTTCGGGTTAAGCCTTCTGCAACTCGCTCCCACGAATTTTTTCTTACGAAATTTGGACATTTATTACGAGTGTACGGCTACTTTACTTGATTATACGTTTGAGCATGTCTCTCAAAACAGTGCTAAGAACAATTCAGATTTATGGTTTACAATCAAGTTGTCTTTAAAAGATGTTCCATGGCCCATGCATATAACCACGATGGTTTGCGAGTCGGCAACCAAAAAGCTGCCTCTCCCACAAACTATATAGGAATGTTGCACCAAAAATGGTTAACAATACACGTGGGACCTTTGTATCTTCCATAGCTAATCACCAAGCACCACCTATGACATGGAACACACGGTGACGGAGGCTATAGGGGACAACCAGGAAGTGTGCGTCTGCGCCGGGGCTCAGCACGGCGCAGGTGACACCGCCACCCGCCGTGCCTACGTGACCGGAGAGCGGGCACGACACTCTGCGCCCGATCCGCGGTCACCAGAGACTCTCCTCGCCTCGCCGACTCCTCACGAGCTCCGACAAAAACCTCCGGTACGGCTGCGCTGCCGAGGCGCCTCGACGCTGCATCCTTGGACCGGCCGCGCAGTGATAATGCCTGCAGTGATGACTGAACTGACGTGGCTGGTGACGTTGCACGGAGTTGTTACATCAACGTATGACTTGGAACAGCGACAGTACAGATATGGCAGGTTCGGTTAGTCGATAAGCTTTTTAACACATACAAGATGTTGCATGCATATTGCATAATAGGACCAGATTGGGACTGATAACCAGCTAATTGATGACACATTGTCAAACAAGAGGCAGTGAGGATCTTTCAACATGCTGTGTGAGTTTCTCGCCCGCAGCTTTTTCGATTCAGGCTATCACCAAGTATGTGTGTAACTTACGAGCTCATATGCTCGCAGGTGACATGAAAAAAAAATTCAAACTCACATAAATCACTGTCAAAATGAGTTTAGATTAATTGATACAGCATCATGAATTGCTGGTGTGTGATATATCTATGCTTTGCAACATGCGGGAAGTGCATTCCCTTAGAATTTAACACAAAGCGTAGACATTTTGGCTTCCACTCTGTGATTAAGGTAGGTACAGCCCACCGCTAAAGTAATGTAGGGTTTTACCAATCTCAACGATTGGCTTTTACTGCCGATTGTTTAATGCGGAGTGATCGAAAAGAAGATGTCAATAGCTAAAATTGCAGCTGCAAGGGTGACGATACATATAAGCTACATTCAAAGTTTCATTGTAGTCTGGCTAATCGTTCCTAAGCTTCAGAAGCAGAACATACCCATGACTGAAACCGCACATTACTTCTGCTGTGGACTGTACATAAGATTATGCAGCTTGCACTTAGGCACATATAGGTAACTGTTTTGAAATCAAACAAAAATGCCTACTTTTCTGCTTCAAATTTATCCCACCGTATAGGTACTTTAAGCATTTATTGTCGTTGGCGGCATCATGCTCAAAAGAAGTTTAATTTATTGAAGTCAAGCAGTGTGAGCTATAGCTTACCACAAAGCAGCAGTGCCATGGTTGCAACTTAGAAACCAGTATAACGCCTTTTGGGGCGACTAACGGAGCGAGCGAGAGGGTGGGCCTTGCACGTGCGAAATTTCGAGGAGTACCTCCAACTGACTTGTGCACGGCACCTTACTAACCGGTTTCTAGCGATGTGCCAAATTTGAGCACAATCGGCCCAGCCGTTCTCGAGATCTGGGAGCGGCACCCTGCACGTGCGCACGTGCAAAATGGGTCCCAACTGACTTGTGCACGGCACCCTACTAACTGCTCCGTAACCGTGTACCAAATTCGAGCGCAATCGGTCCAGCCGTTCTCGAGATCTGGAATCGACCCCTGCACGTGCGCACGTGCAGCAGCACCCCAACTCTGGCACATGGATATGCATTGCCTAGTGGGTGCCTACCTACATGCCAACTTTCAGCGCAATCGGCCCAGTAGTTACCGAGATATTGCAACTATTACAAAAGTGACACCTCTTCGTCTTGCACGTGGCACGTGCATAAGGGGTCACCCACATGCATCGGGAATAGTCCAATACTTGGTAGAAGGAATGAAGCTACCCTACAAAAATTACCGCATGCAAATCGGTCAAGTGGTTGCTGAGATATAGGCCTCGCAAAAGCGTGACCACGGCCGGCCGGCCGGCCGGCCGCTCATGCTCAGAAATTTCCGTTAATCTAAGGAAAGACTACGCTCGCTTCGCTCGCTCCGTAATGATCCTATATTAAACCTTGCATGCTGTTATATCCACTAATCAAAAGATTGCCTCATGAAAAACATTGAGAAACACGCTGAGCAGTGTAGGTAGGTACTCGTCCACGATGACTTGTAATGTTGTTGTGACGTTGAGCCCGACTTTGGTGTCGACATATGACTTGTAGTGTTGATGTGGTGACATTGAGCCCGACTTTGGTGTCGACATATGACTTGTAGTGTTGATGTGGTGACATTGAGCCCGACTTTGGTGTCGACATATGACTTGTTGTGTTGGTGAGGTGACATTGAGCCCGACTTTGGTGTCGACATATGACTTGTAGTGTTGATGTGGTGACATTGAGCCCGACTTTGGTGTCGACATATGACTTGTAGTGTTGGTGAGGTGACATTGAACCCGACTTTGGTGTCGACATATGACTTGTAATGTTGTGGTGACATTGAACCCGACTTTGGTGTCGACATATGACTTGTAGTGTTGTGGTGACACGACTTTGGTGTCGACATATAACTTGTAGTGTTGGTGAGGTGACATTGAACCCGACTTTGGTGTCGACATATGACTTGTAGTGTTTTTATGGTGACAATGAACCCGACTTTCGTGTACGAGGCCTCTGTAATGGCCTCCGTAATTTAGCAGAGTCACTGGGCCATGCACATACCGGGTGGCCCAGAAAAAAAACGTTCCCAACTTTAAATCAATATTTCTCAGAAAGTGATAAAGATACAACATTGAAACTTCGAATAGTCAATGCGGCACACATTTTCAGTAAATGGTATGATTTTCATGGTGTTCGGTAAACTACTGTTTAAACGGTTCGTGTTTCAAGCATGTCATGTAAAAATTACTTTTTTGCTCCGATGTTTACTAAAAATGTGAGTGAACGGGTCACTTTCACCCCGCGGCACCGCGGCCTAGAGCCATGACTTCTGCAGCTAGTCTCATTGATGGTTCGGGTCTCAGGATGACACATTCCCTCAGGCAACCATGATGGCTCTGTGCCAGTGGCATCGGAAGAAGTTTCCAGTTTTCTAGCCATCTTGTGGCTCAAATGCTTTCCTGGCTGACATTCCCGGGAAAAGGTAGCTTTCAACCAGTTTTTTTTTTTTGTCATCTGCTGGCAATGTTGTTTTTTCATAAGCTATTCTGTGGTCTTCTGGCACAGGAACCAGTCTGCTTTAGTTTGTTTTCCTTATCCGGTCGATTTACTGTTTGATCTACTGAAAGGAGGGTAATCAGCACTAATCCATGCACCGTGCCACTCCTGCTCGAAACATGATTTGGTGTTGAAACGAATGACATCCATGAGCATCATTTTGGCTCAGTATTTGAATATTTGGCACATAAGTGAGACAAAAAAAAT